CTGACTATAGACTAGACTATAGACTAGACTATAGACTAGTCTATAGACTATAGACTAGACTATAGACTAGACTATAGACTAGACTAGACTATAGACTAGACTATAGACTAGTCTATTAGTCTAGTCTATAGTCTAGTCTATAGTCTAGTCTATAGTCTAGTCTATGTCTAGTCTATAGTGTAGTCTATAGTCCAGTCTATAGTCTAGTCTAGTCTATAGTAGTCTATAGTCTAGTCTATAGTCTAGTCTATAGTCTAGTCTATAGTCTAGTCTATAGTCTAGTCTGTAGTCCAGTCTATAGTCTAGTCTATAGTCTAGTCTATAGTCTAGTCTATAGTCTAGTCTATAGTCTAGTCTATAGTCTAGTCTATAGTCTAGTCTATAGTCTAGTCTAGTCTATAGTCTAGTCTAGTCTATAGTCTAGTCTAGTCTATAGTCTAGTCTAGTCTAGTCTAGTCTATAGTCTAGTCTATAGTCTAGTCTATAGTCTAGTCTATAGTCTAGTCTATAGTCTAGTCTATAGTCTAGTCTATAGTCTAGTCTATAGTCTAGTCTATAGTCTAGTCTATAGTATAGTCTATTGTCTAGTCTATAGTCTAGTCTACAGTCTAGTCTATAGTCTAGTCTATAGTCTAGTCTATAGTCTAGTCTATTGTCTAGTCTATAGTCTAGTCTACAGTCTAGTCTATAGTCTAGTCTATAGTCTAGTCTATAGTGTAGTCTATAGTCTAGTCTATAGTCTAGTCTATAGTCTAGTCTATAGTCTAGTCTATAGTCTAGTCTATAGTCTAGTCTATAGTCTAGTCTATAGTCTAGTCTATAGTCTAGTCTATAGTCTAGTCTATAGTCTAGTCTATAGTCTAGTCTATAGTCTAGTCTATAGTCTAGTCTATAGTCTAGTCTATAGTCTAGTCTATAGTAGTCTATAGTCTAGTCTATAGTCTAGTCTATAGTCTAGTCTATAGTCTAGTCTATAGTCTAGTCTATAGTCTAGTCTATAGTCTAGTCTATAGTCTAGTCTATAGTCTATAGTCTAGTCTATAGTCTAGTCTATAGTCTAGTCTATAGTCTAGTCTACAGTCTAGTCTATAATCTAGTCTATAGTGTAATCTATAGTCTAGTCTATAGTCTAGTCTATAGTCCAGTCTATAGTCTAGTCTATAGTCTAGTCTATAGTCTGGTCTATAGTCTAGTCTGTAGTCTAGTCTGTAGTCTAGTATATAGTCTAGTCTATATTCTCGTCTATATTAGTCTATAGTCTAGTCTACAGTCAAGTCTAGTCTAGTCTACAGTAGTCTAGTCTAGTTTAGCTAGTCTAGTCTAGTCTAGTCTAGTCTATAGTCTAGTCTATAGTCTAGTCTATAGTCTAGTCTATAGTCTAGTCTATAGTTAGTCTTAGTCTAGTCTATAGTCTAGTCTATAGTCTAGTCTATAGTCTGTCTATAGTCTAGTCTATAGTCTAGTCTATGTCTAGTCTATAGTCTAGTCTATAGTCTAGTCTATAGTCTAGTCTATAGTCTAGTCTATAGTCTAGTCTATAGTCTAGTCTATAGTCTAGTCTATAGTCTAGTCTATAGTCTAGTCTATAGTCTAGTCTATAGTCTAGTCTATAGTCTAGTCTATAGTCTAGTCTATAGTCTAGTCTATAGTCTAGTCTATAGTCTAGTCTATAGTCTAGTCTATAGTCTAGTCTATAGTCTAGTCTATAGTCTAGTCTATAGTCTAGTCTATAGTCTAGTCTATAGTCTAGTCTATAGTCTAGTCTATAGTCTAGTCTATAGTCTAGTCTATAGTAGTCTATAGTCTAGTCTATAGTCTAGTCTATAGTCTAGTCTATAGTCTAGTCTATAGTCTAGTCTATAGTCTAGTCTATAGTCTAGTCTATAGTCTAGTCTATAGTCTAGTCTATAGTCTAGTCTATAGTCTAGTCTATAGTCTAGTCTATAGTCTAGTCTATAGTCTAGTCTATAGTCTAGTCTATAGTCTAGTCTATAGTCTAGTCTATAGTCTAGTCTATAGTCTAGTCTATAGTCTAGTCTATAGTCTAGTCTATAGTCTAGTCTATAGTCTAGTCTATAGTCTAGTCAGTCTAGTCTATAGTCTAGTCTATAGTCTAGTCTATAGTCTAGTCTATAGTCTAGTCTATAGTCTAGTCTATAGTCTAGTCTATAGTCTAGTCTATAGTATAGTCTTTTGTCTAGTCTATAGTCTAGTCTATAGTCTAGTCTATAGTCTAGTCTATAGTCTAGTCTATAGTCTAGTCTATAGTCTAGTCTATAGTCTAGTCTATAGACTAGTTTATAGTCTAGTATATAGTCTAGTCTATTCTAGTCTATAGTCTAGGTTATAGTCTAGTCTATAGTCTAGTCTATAGTCTAGTCTATAGTCTAGTCTATAGTCTAGTCTATAGTCTAGTCTATAGTCTAGTCATAGTCTAGTTTATAGTCTAGTCTATAGTCTAGTCTATAGTCTAGTCTATAGTCTAGTATATAGTCTAGTCTATAGTCTAGTCTATAGTATAGTCTATAGTCTAGTCTATAGTCTAGTCTATAGTCTAGTCTATAGTCTAGTCTATAGTCTAGTCTATAGTCTAGTCTATAGTCTAGTCTATAGTCTAGTCTATATAGTCTAGTCTATATAGTCTAGTCTAAGTCTAGTCTATAGTCTAGTCTATATGTCTAGTCTCTATAGTCTAGTCTATAGTCTAGTCTATAGTCTAGTCTATAGTCTAGTCTAGTCTATAGTCTAGTCTATAGTCTAGTCTATAGTCTAGTCTGTAGTCTAGTCTATAGTCTAGTCTACAGTCTAGTCTATTGTCTAGTCTATAGTCTAGTCTATAGTCTAGTCTACAGTCTAGTCTACAGTCTAGTCTATAGTCTAGTTTATAGTCTAGTCTAGTCTAGTAGTCTATAGTCTAGTCTATAGTCTAGTCTATAGTCTAGTCTATAGTCTAGTCTATAGTCTAGTCTATAGTCTAGTCTATAGTCTGTAGTCTAGTATATAGTCTAGTCTATATTCTCGTCTATAATTATTCTATAGTCTAGTCTACAGTCAAGTCTATAGTCTAGTCTACAGTCAAGTCTATATTCTAGTCTATAGTCCTAGTCTATAGTCTAGTCTATAGTCTAGTCTATAGTCGAGTCCTATAGTCTAGTCCTACAGTCTAGTCTACAGTCTAGTCTACAGTCTAGTTCTATAGTCTAGTCTATAGTCTAGTCTATAGTCTAGTCTATAGTCTAGTCTATAGTCTAGTCTATAGTCTAGTCTATAGTCTAGTCTATAGTCTAGTCTATAGTCTAGTCTATAGTCTAGTCTATAGTCTAGTCTATAGTCTAGTTATAGCCAGTCTATAGTCTAGTCCTATAGTCCTAGTCTATAGTCTAGTCTATAGTCTAGTCTATAGTCCTAAGTCTATAGTCTAGTCTATAGTCTAGTCTATAGTCTAGTCTATAGTCTAGTCTATAGTAGTCTAGTCTATAGTCTAGTCCTATAGTCTAGTCTAAGTCTAGTCTATAGTCTAGTCTATAGTCTAGTCTATAGTCTAGTCTATAGTCTAGTCTATAGTCTAGTCTATAGTCTAGTCTATAGTCTAGTCTATAGTCTAGTCTATAGTCTAGTCTATAGTCTAGTCTATAGTCTAGTCTATAGTCTAGTCTATAGTCTAGTATAGTCTAGTCTAGTCTATAGTCTAGTCTATAGTCTAGTCTATAGTCTAGTCTATAGTCTAGTCTATAGTCTATCTATAGTCTATCTATAGTCTAGTCTATAGTCTAGTCTATAGTCTAGTCTATAGTCTAGAATGGTCTAGTCAATGGTCTAGTCTATAGTCTAGTCTATAGTCTAGTCTATAGTCTAGTCTATAGTCTAGTCTATATTCTAGTCTAGTCTATAGTCTAGTCTATAGTCTAGTCTAGTCTATAGTCTAGTTTATAGTCTAGTCTATAGTCTAGTCTATAGTCTAGTCTATAGTCTAGTCTATATTCTAGTCTAGTCTATAGTCTAGTCTATAGTCTAGTCTAGTCTATAGTCTAGTTTATAGTCTAGTCTATAGTCTAGTCTATAGTCTAGTCTATAGTCTAGTCTATAGTCTAGTCTATAGTCTAGTCTAGTCTAGTCTATAGTCTAGTCTAGTCTATAGTCTAGTCTATAGTCTAGTCTAGTCTATAGTCTAGTCTATAGTCTAGTCTAGTCTATAGTCTAGTCTATAGTCTAGTCTAGTCTATAGTCTAGTCTATAGTCTAGTCTATAGTCTAGTCTAGTCTATAGTCTAGTCTATATTCTAGTCAATGGTCTAGTCTATAGTCTAGTCTATAGTCTAGTCTATAGTCTAGTCTATAGTCTAGTCTATAGTCTAGTCTATAGTCTAGTCTATAGTCTAGTCTATAGTCTAGTCTATAGTCTAGTCTATAGTCTAGTCTATAGTCTAGTCTATAGTCTAGTCTATAGTCTAGTCTATAGTCTAGTCTATTGTCTAGTCTATAGTCTAGTATTGTCTAGTCTACAGTCTAGTCTATAGTCTAGTCTATAGTCTAGTCTATAGTCTAGTCTATAGTCTAGTCTATAGTCCAGTCTATAGTCTAGTCTATAGTCTAGTCTATAGTCTAGTCTATCTATAGTCTAGTCTATAGTCTAGTCTATAGTCTAGTCTATAGTCTAGTCTCTAGTACTAGTCCTATAGTCTAGTCTATAGTCTAGTCTATAGTCTATTCTATTAGTCCTAGTCTATAGTCTAGTCTATAGTCTAGTGCCTATGTCTAGTCTATAGTCTAGTCTATAGTCTTCTATAGTCTAGTCGTAGTTAGTCTATAGTCCTAGTCTATAGTCTAGTCTAAGTCTAGTCTACGGTCTATTCTGTTCTAGTGTAGTCCATTTGTCTAAAATGTAGTATATAGTCGAGTCTAAAGTTGTCTATATTCTAGTCTAGTCCTTAGTCTAAAACATATATTAATATACATGTATAATTTAATTGTATAAAAAAATTATTATTTATATTTTCTCACCATTTCTTTACTTTTTCCAGAGGAACTGACGTTTCGGCTATTGATGCATCCATATCAAGGCATTTCAACAATAACTTGGCGATTATTTTTGCTGTCTTCATGTGATTTATATATTGGATTCAAAATGCTTTTAAAATAACTAAAAATTTACTTGGAGAACTGCAATTTTTTTAAATTCCTCTTGGCTTAAAGTAATTTGAAGAGCCCCATAAGCAGTAGATACTACATGAAAAGCTATTAGTAGTAGCAGCTAATGTTCGTTTAAAAATGTTTTAGTCTTAGAATTAATTTATAAGATAATTAAATAAATAATAAATAATAAATAAATAAAGAAATAAATAAATAAATAAATAAATAATAAATTTACTATACTGTTTTTACTATATACATATTTGCGCACAATATTCAGATCTATTGCCCAAAAACTTTTATTCGATTAATCAGTTTCAAAATACTGACAGACAGGAACATTTTTACCACGTAAATAAAATTGTATTTATGCATGAATTTTGTTATCGAAAAGAATATTTGGTCTTTTGATGTTTTTTCGCAACTAAACATGCAACACGGCCGCGGTTGTGTATGGACTGTGAAAAACATCATGTGTTCCTGGGATTTTTTTCTGCAGACGTTTTATTTTTGTTGTGTGACGTTATACATTAGGAAAAATTGCTAGTTTTAATCATGAGGCTGTCATAAATACAAACACACTCACACACACTTCAAAGTTAAACACAAAACAAGTAAGAAAGTATAGTCGGGCGTGGCCGACCATATGATACCCTACACCAGTTATGAATATTAAATGTGATTTATTTTTCATAATAAAGCATTTATCTTCAATGGATGAAAAACTAATTTTCTGAAAGAGGCTTTATATGGGGGCTAGGGGCAAATATGGACCAAGCCCGATAAAATTTTGTGAATATATTTACATAATATTTTATTGTGCTGAATTTTATTTCGATATTTGTGTTATAAGTTAATTTGGGACATTCAAGTAATTTTCTGAAGGGGACTTTGTATGGGAGCTAGGGTCAAATGGGGCCCGATCTTTATGAAATTTGGCAGGGTCATCAAGACTTCTATAAAACTTAGTTGTGCCGTATTTTATCGATATATCTGTATATTTGACATAATTATGAGCTCAGAAGCCCTTTTCGGGGGGTTCTGTTCTATGGGGGCTAGGTGAAATAATGGACCGATTTTAACCATTTTCAATAGCCCAGGAAAACGTGCGTGCCAAATTTCATCCAATTATCTTGAAAATTGCGACCTGTACCTTGCGCACAAGGTTTACATGGACAGCCAGCCAGACGGACGGACGGACATAGCTTAATCGACTCAGAAAACGATTCTAAGCCGATTGGTATACTTTAAGGTGGGTCTAGGACGAATATTTTTGTATGTTACAAACATCAGCACAAATCCAATATACCCTCCCCACTAAAGTGGTGTAGGGTATAACAAAAATACTCTTCTGCTTGGTTGAATTGTTTATTTTTTTTAATAAACACACACTTATACGGAACCTTTGTATGTATGGGAGTTAAATTGTTATGGATGACGTTGTTGTGTTTGTATATTTGAAAAAAGGCAGCTGCTAGACTTTTAAAGTTGTTTAAACTCATACATACTATATATGTACATATTTTCACCTATACACACATTCATACATATGTATATAAACAAACACATTAAGTGAGTCAACAATTACAGGGGAAGGGTTAATGTTATTGTTATTTTTATTATTATATCTGTTTGTATATGTAGGCCTCTCTTGTATTGCCTCGGCTTTTTTCATCTCTTGGTTGCTGTTGTTGTTTTTTGTTTAAAAGGATGTTGATCTTTAGACGAGTGCACAATTTCCAACTCCCATCCTGCTTGTTTCCCATTTGCATTTCCGCTAAAATTTTACGGAAATAAAATATTCGTTGCGTTGGGCAAAAGTTTTAAGCGGTTTACTGCGACTGCTAATGAATATAAGAATTTAAAAAAAGAATAACCGAACAGAATAAACTTTGTTTGCTGGCTTTATGTTTGTATATGTAGCAACTTGCAACAGTTTCCTATTTCCGTGTATATATTACAAATGGCTTGTGTATGCATATGTTCAGTTTTTGTTTTTTTTTATGTGTTTATAATACATCAAACATATGGCTGTATAACCCAAGTTAACATGCAATAACGCGAATGTCCTTTATCTATAAATCACTTGATACACATTTACAACATCCGTAAGACAGCCATTGGCTCTTTCACTTTTTCCTGGGCTATGAATACATGAATATACATACATATGTGTGTAGCTGTTTGTGTGTTTGTTTTCTGGCATTTGGCTTTTTACACTTTGACAATGCTGTTGCTGTCTTTTTGAGCGAGAAAGTGGGCAAAGTGTGCGTGTATCTGTTTAAGCAAGTGTGTGGCTAATGCATTTATGCAAAAGGCTAAAGTGATTTTCCGGCTGCCTTCATTTACTGCCAAAGACATTGAGTGGTGTAATGGTAGTGATCATAATGCTGCTCCTGATGATGATGATGAGAATGCATATTTTTCGTGGTTTCGGTGTGTACATGAGAAAACATTGCATCCAACATGCTCGTCATCAAACTCAACAGTATTTTCAGCACTCTTTTTCAACATTATTTTACATCATTGTGCAAAGAATACGAGTCGTTGTTTGCAGCAGTAACGACAGTGATAAATTAACACCTAGCATATGATACTCTTGTAGGTAGGTATTAAACTACCTTACCAAAAACCATTAATTTTTTTTCCTTTCGCCAAAATAACGCAAAAAAATAAAACTTCTACTCACACACAGAGAACACAAAAGCCGGTGGAGTCCTGCTCAACAACAACAAAGTATCACATCAAAACAGTGACACCTAAAGCTTATCCTTGCATACTAAACCAATTAAAAAACATACATAGATACAAATATAAACTCACCCAATTATAAAAAATTCAACCGGGCAACAGTGTTAACTTATCAATTTTTTCCGCTTAATGTAGGTATTGTTTGGATATAGACACACATTCATCAAAAAATACAGCTGTTTTTTTTTTATTTAGATTAAAATATTTAAACTGTTGTTGCAGACATTTTCTGAAAATATATAAAATAGTTAGAATTAATATACATATAAAACTTTAAAATTCGTTATTTATTAAAGATTTTTATTTTAGATTTTAAATCAAAGGATAAAAATCTATTGAGTTTTGTTTAATTTATAATATTTACTCTTATGTTTTAAATCTTAACTTTTTACTGTATTTTTTTTTTTTTCTGTGAGAAAGAAAAGTACATATTACAGTTTACCTACAAACAAACGTACAAATATATGTACGTGCATATTTCTTAGTACTTTTGAAAGTAAATGTAATAGGTTAAATATAATCCAAATGCATGATGGTATTATATACACATATACAACTAAATGTATTTATGTATGTATACATTTACTCTGTGCTACCATATAAAAGAGCAAATGAAGAGAAAAAAGCAACTACAACAACAAAAAAACAAACAAATCTTTTAAGTGAATTAAAACTCAAAGTGCTTTAACAGCTTCAGGACATGTTTAAGTAGCATCATATTTATGTATTTGATATTTACACTTAAAGGAATGTGTGGCATTAATGCGTCTGTATAATTCTGGTGCTGTATACAACATGTGTGTTGTTGTACGTGAAAGTTTAATAACTAGAAATATGAAAATGATTTAGTTGAAAAACAGAACTTTAATTAAAATTACAAATGCAAAAGTATGCAAAAAAAAGAACTACAGCAGAGGGGAGAAAGCCGTAAATGTGTTTAAAATTATAAAACACCTACACGTATGATTAATATTCATAATTAACACATTACGTCTTAGTGTTTGCAGACATTGATTATGGTGAGGGTAAATGTTAATTGTGACAAATAAAATTAAAATTATATTATAAAACAGTCATAATACGTTGATAATATTTATAATTTCCTTTAAAATTTCGACAAATATTCGATTTCTTATAATGTTACTAACTCTTTTTAAAAATTTTGAAAATGTATAGGAATTTTTTAAAATAAGAAAAAATTACCAAAAGTTTTCAAAACTGTGTTAAAAAAAGCAAACTATAATTTTTTTAAATTAGATACTTTAATGAATATTTTTAATTTTTTTTAATCTACAATTTTATAGACTATTTTTAAAGAAAATAAGAAATTACGAAACACATAAAATGAAAAATTACACAGTCTCAGCCCAGTGACATAAAGCTCTATACTAAAGTCAACAATTTAGACTTTAGAACAGAACTTTGTTGTCCCGTGTTATTAAACGTTTTCTATTTTAATTAAAAAATTTATAAATGTTTTTTTAAACAGGATATTAGACCATCCGACAAAAAGAAAAAAAAAATCTTTAGACATGAACCGCATGAAATACGTCTGAAACTATAAATTTAGTTGAGAAATATTTCTTTTTTAGTTTCGTGATCCTGTTTCCTTTTTAAAGGACTACAAAGTTTTAAAGAAATACATTTTTCAAAAATATATTTTAAAATACTTCTACTGATCAAACAATGCAAAAATTGATGTCAAAAGAACAAACCAGATCACGAAATAAAAAACTGTAAATGCAATTTTGCTTCATTTAATCTGTAGTTTCAGACTTATGTATATCATCTGGTTCATGTCTAATTTTGAGTGTTATCCCACTATTTATACCCTTTACCACTTAAGTGGGGAGGGTATTTTGGGTTTGTGCTGATGTTTGTAACACATACAAATATTCCCACCTTAGAATACCAAACGGCTTAGAATCATTTTCTAAGTTATGTCCGTCTGTCTGGCTGGTTGTCCATGTAAACCTTGTGCGCAAGGTACAGATCGCAATTTTCAAGATAATTGGATGAGATTTGGCACACAAGGACGAAACCTATTGAAAATGGTTAAAATCGGTCCATTATTTCACCTAGCCCCCATACAACAGAACCCCCGAAAAGGGCTTCTGAGCTCATATTTATGTTAAATATACCTGCTGTATAACGATAAAAAGCGGCACAACTAAGTTTTATACAAATCTTGATGACCTTGCCAAATTTCATAATGATCGGGCCTCATTTGACCCTAGCTCCCATACAAAGTCTCCTTTAGAAAATGACTTGAATGTCCAAAATTCACATATAAACACTAATATTGCGATGAAATCCAGCACAAATAAATATTATATAAATATAAATCTATTCACAAAATTTTATCGAGATCACTCCATATTTGGCCCAAGCTCCCATATAAACCCATATTCAGAAAATTAAGTTTTTTATCCATAAATTGTTTAAATGTATCGGAAACAAGGTTGTTTTGAAGATAAATACTTATTTATGAAAAATAAATCACATTTAATAGTCATAACTGGTGTAGGGTATCATATGGCCGGCCACGTCCGACTATACTTTCTTACTTATTTTTAAATGAAAATGTCTTGTAGTTAAATTACGGAACAACTTAATGTATGATTAATATTATTTCTAAGTGTAAAATTAAGTATACGTCCCATATATCTTATTTTATAAATGTCAGAGTGAGTTAAATTTATAAAATTTTAATACAATAATTTTTTCCCTTCAGTTTTACTTTGATTTATTAGAATTCTACTCATAACTTTCAAAACACTGTCAACAGTTTATTGATATTTTTTCGCGTGTAACTCTCTGATCTAAGGTCTTTGCCCTTTTGTCTTTTTTTTGGATTGTTTTTTATGTTAAATATTGTTAGCAAAAATTTTGTGTCGAAACGTGTGTTTGTTCAACATTTTATATAATAATCTGTTGAGACAAGAACGTGAAGAGGGAGAGAATAAACACCAAACATTTAAAAGTGATGAATAGCTTGATAAAAAAAATTAAGGAAAAAATAAAACACAAAATATTTGTTGTTCTTGTATGTTTGTTTGTATTCAAATATAATATTTTTTACTTTGTCTATATTTACTTTTATGTTTATTTTTTTCATATCCTTGTAAACGCTACAATCAGCAATATTGCATAATATATATAAAAACAAAGGAATTTGGGGAAAAATTTTCAGTTGTCATATGTTCTTCAAAAAAAATCCACTTTTAACTCTATCAACAAGAGTGTTAATAAAAAAGTTTTATATTCTGTACAGGGCATATTACATTCGCTGTAAACTTCTTGAAAGTTTTCTTTATATTTCTATTTATATGAATAAATTTCATACACGCAATAACTACAATGACTACATTTAAAAAATTGCAATAAACAGCAAAATTTTTGTATGACTGCACACATTTTTTTTTCGTTCTTATATTAATATACATCCACACATATACATATTTTTTATATGAATATTTTGCAAACAACTCAGTGTGAGTTTTATTGCCTTTTGTTTAAAACTAAGAAAAAAAAGCATAAATTTTTAACATTCTTGTTTATCGAGTTACAAAAAAAAAATGCGCACAAAAAACATTCCAACTATAAAAAAATAAAGTTCTTATTTTTATATTTTTCTAGGGAAAATGAAGCAGAAATATAAAACAAATCTAAAAAACTAAAGTTACTTTGTTGCTCAAATGCTGTTATTCTTAGTTTAGAAAAAACTGAAAAAAAAAAATAAAATAAATTCCTTTTAAGTTCGTTAAAAATTGTCTACAAAAATTTACTTCTAATAAAGCCGTAGTTTCATTCTTGGGTTCTCCATGTTTGTTCTTGGTTGTCAGGGATTTTCAAAATTCAAACAAACAAACAATTGTAACAGTTAGATGTTGTAAATGTTGTTTGTAGTTTAAGCTAATGTTTTTTGATGCAAATTGTATTAATTTTTTTTTTTTTTTTTGTTGTACAGCAACATGTCAGCAGCGTGACACTTGAATACATTCTTTTTTTATTCTTTCTATTGCTGTTATTGTTGTTTTGGTTTTTGTAAATTTTAAAAGCTTTTTTTCTTGTTTTCAACATATTTATACAAAAGTGAAACAAAAAACTTAATTTTTTATTTTACTGTTCACTTTTATTTATTTGTTAGTCATTTGTCAGTTTTAGTTGTAGATGTATGTCAGGAAATGTTAGTGTGTGTGTGTTGCTTGCAAAAATGTAAAGTGCCAAGGACTCCTTTCATTATATGGTCACCACAATGTAACTATAAATGTGTAAAAAGCGTTGTCAAGGGCAAAAGTAAAACAGAAATACAAAAAAAAACGCTTACAACTCGATTATGCCAATGGTTTTAAGTATATAAAGGATTATAGTTGTAGATTTTCTAAAAATTTTAAGAGATTTTAAATAGATTTGTTTCATATTACTCAAATGGTCGTATATTAAAGGATTTAATTTGATAAGAGTGAACACTATAATTTAAAATATTTTTTTTTGTAGCTGTAATGCATTACTGGAATTTTCATATTGATAAATTTAAGAAAAAATGATTTAAAATTATTTAAATATTTATTAAAGATTTTGGAATAAAAAAAAAAAAAAAAAAAAAAAACAAGTAAGAAAATATTGTCGAGCGTGGCCGACCATATGATACCCTATACCAGTTATGAATATTAAATGTGATTAATTTTTCGTAATAAAGCATTTATTTCCAATTTTACCTTGTTTCCGATACATTTAAGCAATTTATGGACGAAAAACTAATTTTCTGAAAAAGGGTTTATATGGCGGCTTGGGCCAAATATGGACTGATCTCGATAAAATTTTGTGAATAGATTTATATTTATATAATATTTATTTGTGCTGGATTTCATAGCGATATTAGTGTTTATATGTGAATTTTGGATATTCAAGTAATTTTCTGAAGGGGACTTTGTATGGGAGCTAGGGTCAAATGAGGTCCGATCTTTATGAAATTTGGCAAGATCATCAAGGCTTGTATAAAACTTATTGTGCTGCTTTCCATCGAGATATAGGTATATTTAACATAATTATGAGCTCAAAGGCCCTTTTCAGGGGGTTTTGTTGTATGGGGACTAGGTGAAATAATGGGACGTTTTTAACCGTTTTCAATAGGCTTCGTCCTTGGGCCAAAAAAATCGTATGTGCCAAATATCATCCAAATATCTTGAAAATTGCGACCTGTATCTTGCGCACAATGTT